TTATATAAAGGATACTTGATTAATGAAAGAAGATACGAATTTTTCCATTCTCTTTCTCTCTATTTACAACACTATACAAATATTGCGGAATAAATCTTTCTTTGTAACTGTGATTTATGAGCTAAAACATCGTCTTTCAAACTTTTTTCGTTTCTTTAAACATCTGTTCAAAGCTCATCTTTCTTGCCATTGCCAACATTTTTTGAAGATATTGGGTCCTTCAAAAATTCTTTGAACCATTTTGCTGATTCTTTCTCGTAACGAGTCAAATTATTTTTGTAGTCGATGTAATAGAGTCCGAATCTTGAATCATATCCATCTTGCCATTCGAAATTGTCTAGTAAATGACCATGCAAAATATCCTGTCACGTTTACTTTATCCATACTGCACCAATCAAATTAATCAAATCATTTTGTTTAAAATTGAAAGTTTCTAGCTACAATAAACTATGAATATTGAATGAAGAATCACAAGTTAACTCACCAAATTGCCTCATATAGCTTTAAAAGATGCCTCTGGTGGTAATATTTTGGAAAAATGGTTGTAACCTACCCGAAGTATGGGGTAATATGTAGAAAACTACCTGAAGTATAAAAATGTGCTTTAAACTACACCAACTTATAAAAATGTGCTTTAAACTACACGAAGTATGAAAAAATATGTTGCGAACAACATATTGGGTTTTTAAAACTTAAAACGTGATTTTGGAGTTAAAATGTAATTAAATTTTCTTAAACCTGATTTAATCAAATATCCGACCCAATCAATCACTTAACCCTACCTGGTTCAGTTTATCATTTTAACTGGGCATATTAATTTGACCCAACATTTTTGTAAAACAAAAAAACGAAGACATATATACAAATGACGTGAATTATGTGGAAACAAAGAAAACAAAGCAAACAATATAACTTATAGTTGATTAAAATATCAAAATATCGTTAGTTTGAATAAAAAAACATAGCAACTTAGCCGATCAACTTCGAATATCAAAATTTATTCCGCAATACCATTCTCCGCGATGATAATCTCCGGATCACCGCAGAAGTTCCCTTAATCCATTTGTGTATACCGCGAGTGTAGCAATTGACGGTTGAAACAAAAAAGAGTAAATCATGATTTTTGAAATATTTTGTATTCTTTTGTCTTTGTCTAACATAAAAAGTTATATATCTATCAAATTCAGGTATTTCCATTGCAAATTCAATCATAATTAGCAACTCTAGATGATTTAAATGTTAAAATATGTCATCACATGTTTCGAGGATTATAATTTCCAAAACCTCCAACCATATAAACCTGACAAAATGATGTATTTGATATTCAGGGTGAGTAATTTTATAGAATTATCCTAGCGTTAATTTCAATAAATTAAAGTGTGTTATTAAAATGAATCTAAAATTATGGCTTTCTATGAAAGGGAATTATTCGGAATATGAAAATCTAAAATTTGGGAGAGAAATTTAGTATACCTTGCTACCAATGTGGTAGCCTAGTATTCTTGGCTGAAAAACCAAATTAACTATCAAATAGAAAGAAAGAGAAAAAAAGGTGAAAGTGTATTATCAAAAAAATAAAAGTAAACCCTATTTAAAAAAAGTAACTCACGTTCCCACTTAACAAGAGAGTCAGATTCCCAACTTGGCTTTGAGGGATCAATAAATCCATTATAAGCAGCGAAGGTGGAAGTATAATAATTAATCCCAACATAATCATATGACATCTTCAATTTCTGCTTTTGATCCTCTGTGAATTTAGGCAACCGATCTCCGACTTGGTCCTTCATTATCTGTGGATAATCACCAAACGTAGTTGGATTCATGTGCCTGCATATGGAAAAAATTACATTAAACAAAAGCTTATAACTTCATCAAAACTATAAGTTTAATTAAGTAGCATCTTGTATCATTAGAGATACTTGTAAATTACCATCCCAACATGAACTCTAGGGCTTGTTCCACGGAAGCATTGGCATGTAGACTAAACTTAAGAGTGTGAGGCTCAAACCAAGAAGGACTATGCGCAATCCCGATCTTTCCACCTTTGCACTACATATATATATATACGTATGTATTAATATTTGGTTAGGAGCAATTTCCGAAAAGCATTAGATGTATTAATTGATGTAATCCAAAATAATAAATATCGTGGTCTCAATTTAAGAGTGTGCTACCGCTATATGAATATTGGGAACGGGATAATGATTATCGTACTTTGAAAGAACCCGGTTCCATTCTAGACTTCTACTAAAGAAAAACATTATGTATAATAAACACACAAATAAAATTATGTATATATATATACCTTTGCGCATTTCCTAAACTCTTGAACGGCTTCGGCATGAGCCAAGAGAAGATTGTGGCTAACAATGTAAAGCTCGTGTCCGGAGTTACCTCCAAGACAACTCTTGTTGATATATTTGGAGCAACGTCCCGGCGCTTTCTTGCCAATGTCGTAACCGGCTCTGCTAAACACCCATGGCTCATTGACCGTGATCCACTTCTTCACTTTGTGGCCGTACTCGTGGAAGGTGAAGTTGGCAAACTCGACAAAATCATCTCTACATGTGTATGTATGTATAATTAGGCTAAGTTATAACTTATGCGATTTAATTATTACTTCTCGGATTTGAAAAGGAAAGAATAACTTACATTACACGTTCGCTTAGTAAACCACCGTATTCATCTTCTAAATCTTGAGGAATGTCCCAATGGAAGACCGTAGCTAGAGGAGTTATGCCTGAATATATATTAATGCATGCCATAATAAAAAAGCAAATTAAGCTTCTTTTTTTTTTGCATGCCATAATAAAACTTATTACGCGTATTAATTTATATAATTAAAAGAAAGACTAATTATCAGGGGGAAAAATCATTACCATTTGAAAGGAGCTCGTCTATAAGATCATGGTAAAACTTGACACCCACTTTGCTAATGCCCTTATCCTTTCTCCCATCTAATAATTTATATTCATTTTGAAAGATATTACCAAAGTAA